GGACAGCACCCCACCTGATAACAGTCAAAATCAACAAAGGTCAGAAAGAACAAACATTAAAATGGGTCCACTAAAATCAACTGACAAGAAACAAAGGTTTCACAAACAACTCAAACAAAAGGGTAAACCTACAGTCATGATCAGTGACAACACTCGATCAGACTCTCAGACCTCATGGGATAAAACAGGTCTTCCAAGCAGAAGATAGTAAAACACAACAAAATAGGTAACAAAATAAATAGGTGTTAAAAAACTAACATCTACTACTAAAACTTAGAAACACTAAGTCAAAATCTTAAATTTCAAGAGAAATTCAAATAGGTTATAACAATAAGTTAAATCTATGATTTACCTTGACCACTAGAGTGCGCTGAAGCATTAAAACACCAAATTTTTATTGCTTATTCACCAACTTGGTTGATGAGTGTACGTTCTAAACCTCTCATTGTTTAAAATCGGTTCGGCACAGAATAAACATCACTGTGAGACGATAAACAACTTTGTGCAGGTTCTGAACACCCACAGCCAAGAAAATGAGGTTTTGTATTGCTGTTAAAGAGTCAGGTCTGGGATGAATTTAACCATGTCAACATGCAGTCATTGATAAATCTCATCTTTTACAGGGCAATGTAGATTAATGCGACTTTAGGTACCATAACCTACATTGACCATGCCACTCTTTTCATATAGACCTCGCTCGAGTCAACACCAATCGGGGGGGGGCTACTTAATCTTCAAACATGAGTCTCAACATAGACTCCTAAATTAAGGGAAAATAGAAACAAAATTTGAAGAARCTAAAATCGCTCGTTGAGTGATAACTGCAAAAGCAGAAGACAAAACCAGACTATTTTTTCTATTATCGCCCCTAGCATAACTAAGTTATGAGTGGAGGAATAGTTAATGTAGTTTGAATTTGAGGCCTTCCTTCCAGAAGCCCTCTTTAGCCTCTAATAGATATAAACCCCMATATCTACCCTTTAGTTAAAGCAATGACCCATTCTTTAACTACTACCTGTAGCTTATCTAAAACATGATAGCTAACATGCAGAGGCACACATAGGATWAGRCTAATGTAAAAACCCAACTTTAGGTTAACCTAAAACCACATAGGTGTACAACATGTAG